AATGGGCTGAATCTTGCATTTCCATCTGGTGCAGACTTCAAGAAGAGGTTTTTTTCCCCCTGAAATTAGAAATTGAGATCAGGCTGCCTGCACTTTCTAGTCAGTCCCACACAATCAAACAGAATGCAAATTATTCAGTAAGATTACCCCTTCCTGCCCTGTGTAACACACAAAGAGAAGATAGTACATGCCAGGAACAAAATCGTATTTTGGTATCACTGTGGCATCGATTAAGACCTTGTAATACTTTTAACAGTATTTTAGCAAGCACATTTTGGCTGAACTAAATGACATGAGGGATTCCATCTAGCAAAGTACTTGTCACCTGAACCACAAAGGTGAAGTGTGCTTGGCACACTGCAGATTAGGGTCAGTGAAAATAACAGCCACTAATGATTTATTGAATGTAACAAAAAAAAAAAAGGACACTAAAGATAGTGCAATCTAATCACACAAGTGCTACAATCACTGTATATGTTAAGTCTTAAAATGTTAGTGTTTTCCAAAAGTTCTATGATAATGCTGATTACTGAAAAATTAGTTTACATACAAGCATAAAGCCCAAATAATTAAACTTTTATCCTGGTACTAACTTAATATCTTTGTTTGGGTTTTGTTTGTTTGAGTGATTAATAGAGAGAAGGCCAGTTATTCTGTCTCATGTGCTGGATTTGTGACAAGGTAAATAATGTATGAAAATGTAAATAATGTATCCAGAAATTGAAATTAAAGAGAATAGCTTGATCACTAACTGAAGCTTGTTAATGATATACTGAGCTGAGAAGAAGCCTTTGGTGCAAAATAAATTTCATATTTTTGCAATGGGAATTTTTATTTCTGCCATATGGACCATTGCAGTCAATTGACAGATTCTCAGTAATTTCAGTAGAATAATATAATAGGACCAAATCATAGAATCATTTAGGTTGGAAAAGACCTTTAAAATAATTGAGTCCGACCCTAAACCAAACATTGCCAGGTTCACCACACAGATGCAAAGCAAATTTTTCCTAAGACTCCTCTCATTATATCAATCCCTGTCATTTCTGTGCTCCTTCACAGAAAGGTCTCGGTCAGGTATGACAGGCAATATATTTAGGCGGAGATGAAGTAAGAAGAAAGATTTGCTTTCATGGTTTGTCATTCAAGTCTGTATTTAAGTGCTTAAAAAAGAAGACTTGTCAGCTGTAATAGATTTTTTGGAACCTTAAAACACATAAATTATAAGAATATCTGCAGTGCAACATTACTCTGAAATAAAAAAAATATGTATTTAAAATACTGCTTTAAACGTGACTGCGTAGGGAAATCATATAATCATCAAATGCAAAGGAATTGATTGCTTAGGAGATTTTGATGGCTTTTAAAAATGTAATGATGAAACTATCTTTGTGCTTTTTTTTTTTTCTCTGGATTATGGGAGGATGAAGAAATACCAAGAAGCTTAATTCTGCTAGTATTGTTGTTCAAGTCAGTCATACTTTCCCTTCAAAGCTAATGGGAACTAATTTGAGTACAATTACTCATATCCACATGTTTGTAGGACGAAGCCAACGTTTCTAAACATTCTACGTGTTTATTAAACAACTGCCATATAAAAACATAGATTAAAAAAGAGTGAGTGTTTAGTAAATAGCATATCACTCATGGAGTAACTCTTGCTTTCTTCCCTGTGCTTCAGGTGGCACTGGTTTCCTAAGTTTCAGATTCCAAAAAAGGCAAAAATTCAAAACCCAGCTTCAAATCACACTTAATTTTGAAGGTAAACTCTCATTTGAATCCAGCTTTTCTCTAAACTGGGCTCCAATCCAAGCTTGCTTGTAAACCCTGTAAAGCTTGCAGAATGAACTGCAGTTGCCTATCTTTCATCTCAGTCTTCCCATTAATGCCACATAGGTAGACCTTGCCAAGCTCCATTTTCCAGCCCTGACTGCTCCATAACCTTAACCAGCTTCTTTGGAGATAACCTAAGTACTCTCCACCATATTGGAGTCATGAATAGGTAACTTCTCTTCTTCATCCTTGAGTTTCAGTGGTCTTCACCGGCATCCACTTGGACCAAAGTGGGGTTCACTGCAAGATTAACTTGCAGGAAGACTTATCATAGGCTTGTAACTAGCACCATAGATTTGATGCTCCAAATATTACTCAATTAAAAAATAGCAGTCTTTCCTCTAGTATCTTTTGCAAATTTCAGCTCTGGTTACAGTCTATAGTGCTGAAGCAGTTGCAACCCAGACCTCACAGTACCAGGCGGGGTTCCAATGCACCCATGCATTGCACTGTTGCATTGCTAGCCATGTGTTATTGTTGATAGAATTATTAATAGCAGTAATTACTGCAGTGAGGAGCTCTATAAATGATAATAGCATCAGCAATACAGGCTTACAGAAAATCATATTAATTATGAAAGAAACATTCCTGTGTAACCTTAGACTTTTCTATGTATTATTTTATGTTATCATTCTTTGATCTTTCTTTGTCTCCTGTATGTTATATTGAAACAGTACGTCTGCAAGAGAGTAACCTTACTTATTCTCACCTACTGAAACCACTTCCTATGTGGGTTTACACTGTCATTTGCACATCTTCTTGCCCTTTCCCAGATCATTGGCCATGGCTTGGTGAGCACTGCAGGGCTTCAGGGGGAAGTACAATAGGGAATTGAACGCGAGCACCTTCTTGTTGAGCAGAGATGACATGGGCAAATGCTGGATCTTTCAGGTAGAGGAGCCAGACAAGGCATTTTCATCCTTTATTCTGAAGAGGTGCTGCCAGTGTTAATCCATTACTGTAGTGCCCACTAAGAGGCTATAGGTCTAGCAGAACATCTGGGTTGAGGATCTCAGCTGAGCTCAGGCACAAACTCGTGCCAACCTCCAGTCTGACCAAGGAGCAGAACCAGTGTTTTTTTGAGAAAATTAATGATAATAACTGAATTGTTGCACTCTAGATACCAGCTAATGCTATCCCTTTAACAGTGGGCATTCCCAAGAGTGAGGAGATGACTTAAATTACCCTCTAAGAAAGCACGCTGACATGAACTTGTGCAACCTGAATAATTACATATTTCCAGCCCCTTTCCTCTGTGTATTTCTCCAACTCTTCACTCCACTCGCAGTATCTCCTCTTCTTGATAAATTTTATGTGAAGCAGTACCTGTGTGTCCCATGCCCACGACTCTGCAGTATCCCATCACATCTTATGGCAGAGGCCATCAGCACCTTTACAGCACTGTAGGAAAGCAGAGGTGCTCAGATGAGCAGGAATAGCTGAGTATCTGACGTGCCACCACTTGATGCAGCAGAACTAGAAAGCCTATGGAGACCTACAGAAGCTGGGCTATAGATATGCGTCGGACTGTTTGAGTGTACAGGCTGCAGTATCATTTTAGAAATTGCTATTCAGACTTGCATCCAAACCCTCAATCCTACGTGCCTACAGGTAGGTGGATAGGTGAAGACAACTGGGAGTTCTTCCCACCAGCTCCAAAGTGCCAGCTCCAATCCAGAAACAATGTTGATGAGTGACTGCAGGCTTTACAGATTGCAACTAAAATACCCTGCTGGCGTGGAGCCTAGGCAATGTGAACATGCAATTCTTCATTTGTGAATCTCAGTTTTGGTCCTTTTGCCACCTTTAAAATAGAGATGAGCACTTTTCTGATTTACAGAAATTGTTATGAGTAATACATCCAAGTTAATGTGACCCTTAAATGTAAAGGACATGAAAACAACATAAAAACTGTGTCTGCTCTTTCATTTTCACCTGTTGGACTAACTAAATATATACAAATATAATTGGATAGTTATACCTAACTAAATAAAATGAACATATAAAAAGAAAGTAAGAATAACCCCTCCCTGCCCCCCATATTGAAAAGAAAATAAAAATTATCACCGAACTTTTAACTACTTCAGTAAATAAGAAATGTTTCCCTGGAATACTTTCTCCATTTGTACAGAGAATGCATCGTTGCCACAGGCTGGCATACCCGAACATGGGTAAAATAAAAGACGGGAGAGGGAATTTGCAAATGAATCTGAAATGAGTATCTAGGCTAGAGATGCGTTTGGGGCGGGGATGTAGCCCGAGGACTCCCAGCCGCTTCCCAGAACTGCCTCGAGGACCCGCTGGGGACCGGATCC